CCGTTTTGTAAGTCTGTACAACGCACTCCGCAATACCGGTACCGTAGATACATCGGAAATTCGTTGCGTTCAGTTTTTGGTCTGCAACAGGTAGTATATAGCAGACAGAGCATAATATATCAGCCATCAATAGCTTGTCGTCATTATCATCGTCTTCACTGGTGAGCATAACATTATATTATTATTATACTTTTGTATTTTATACAAAATAAACTGACAGATGTATTTAACTGTAATTTAATAACTTTATTCTAATCGAATTTTTAAAACATTTTATTTTTAATTTAGGCAGGTATTTTATGATAGTTGTAAATTGTATATAAAAAGCAAAAAAAAAATTAACGTTGATTAAAACAGAAGTTATTAGTTATTAAATAGTTAGTTAATTACATTTATCAGCAATTTATGTTATTAAACCCTGCATATTTTCTTTTCTTATTTTGCTTTGCTCTTCGCTCTCGTCATATAAATATTATTAAAAATTAAGTCAGTAGTTCGGGTTCAACTTTTTAATGTATACCTATTCATAGGTAATAAATTAGTAACAGACCTACTGCATAATTTTCGTTGCCATCATGCATGCTATGGCAGACACCATTACTGTTACCATTTTTGCCTGAGACATTTACATTACTGATGAGCTTGCGCCCCTAGCACCGTATCAATAGCATAACAATAGTGTACAATCACATTATTATTTTTTTTTTGCATCCTACAATTTTGGTAGGCACATGAAAAAATATCTAATTTAGTAACCGAAAAACTGCATCGGAGGGACTATAATAATGAGCGATTTCAATGAGACTCAGGATTGTGACACTGAAGTGACGGCCGTGCGGGTACTAGTCTTGGCATTGCTCGTTACAGTGACGTACTGCTGTTCGTTTTTCTTCGTAATACGATGGGCGGCGTCGTCTGCCGAGCAACGGCAAAAGTCTACAAGTTACCAGCATAAGAATGTCGCCGACATGAAAACGTCGAAGTCCAAACAAAAAAAATCAACGTCCACCGCAGTCAAACTGAAGGTCAGCAATATTAAAGATAACACAGTCCAACTACAGGTACATTGGTATCTAGTTTGTAGTAAAAGATCAAAAATAAAAATTTCTAGTAATTTTCAAAAAAACCAGAAAAATTTTTAAAAAAATTAGTTGGGGAAGAACGGGAATTTAATATAAAACCAGTTTTATAAAAAAATTTTTTTTTTTTTTGTAATTTAAAAATTAGTAACTTTAAAGACTTAGAATGTTTTCTAGACGTGATATGGGTAATTTTCAAAATATTTTCGCTCTTTTTGCTGAATTATGTAGGTAGTGCAATGACGATTTTTGTCAAAGTTCAAACGCTTATAATAGTATTGTCTGTCTTAGCTTGTGCGTTAGTAACAATTGGTTAGTAGTGTTATATGTAATGAATAATTATATTATAATAATTGTTATGTAATACATACTATTTGTTTTTGTCCAAAATTAATCCAACCTGCCGTATAGCCATTAACAAAATAAATGTATGATAAAATATCATTATAAATATTGTCTGGAGTCTAAACTGTCCTAGAATTATTTTTCGTAAAACAATCGTATCGTATCATTTAATTCAGGTAATCAGATTTGAGACTTACATTACACTTATACTGTAACTACAACCTACTTAATGACGAGGTACATTTGATATTTACTACATAGGAGAACGACTTTCCCTGTTTTTTTCTATTGAAAAATTAATGTTATAATAGATTTGTATTATTTATTTTTATAATTCAACGAAATTTTCAAAAATTTGTAGACACTGTTGTTTTTGTTTGGTAATAATATTACCAACATATGTCACATATTATGTTCATTGTTCAGAAAGGTTGTAAAATATTGGTATGATTTAATTTTAATTTCGGTTAAATATTGTCATATTGTATACATATTTGTAGATACCTCCTTACAGATTTGCTTCATTAATGGATTCATTCTCAGTTCTTTTTATGTTTATTGTACCTACGAATAAAGTTTATTACATGGGTGTTATAGGTATTTTTAAGTACATTAATTACCTAATGATACATTAAAATTACTCATTTGTTTTTCTGTTGATAATCTGTTATCTAAACCTTCCTTGAATTGTCGAAATCAGAGTATTTTTTAATTCTATATGCCTCAGCCTTATATACGCTTTGCATTTTATGTATAATAATTATTTTGGTCATAAGCTGTAGATTGAGATATGCGTCATTTAGATATAACCCAACTAATTATATTTGTATTAGGCGATTATCTATTAAAATCTACTTACCTATTTATCGTTTCTGTTTTGCTGCAATATTCTTAAATGTTTTTGTCAAAATTGATAGTGTTGAGTATTTTTTTTTTACATATAAACCTCAACTATTCACTCAGCCTCTAATATACAATAGCTATTGCCTATTACTCAATATCTAATTTTAAAATTGAAATAGAACAGATTTATTAGTTAAAGTCACAAAATATGTTAACTATAATGTACAAAATACTCAAAAATATGGTCAACCGAACTTGAACCTAACCGTTTAGGCCGGGCTATACATGGCGTACCTATTCCGCCGCGTTTCAAACGTATTCCGCTGAGTTTTCCGTCGAATTCAAAATGCATTGGTTTATATCGGATTAGCTACATACAACGGATGTAATGCGCCGCGTTTCCATCCGCGGAGGAAAATGCCGGTCGGTTTGCGTTTTAATTACGAACACCGAAGTAATAATAACGCAAAATCCTAATTGTACATTTTTTTAAGTTGGGAAGGCATACCGGTCGGGAAACGCGGCGGAATATTCGGTGTATAGCGAGCGCCGGCCTTAATAGTATGTCGAACTGAACTTTGACTGACTTTTTAATCGTATGTATGTCGAACCTAACAATTAAGTGTGATATCTGATGTCCGGATTTATATTTTCTTAAAACACCTACAAATATTCTCTAAAACATTAGAAAAATATGGTTTTAGATCATTTTTTTTCTCAACATTAACAAAATTTTCGAAAGTATGCAAAAAAAAACTTTATCCTATGAACTCTGCAGCCTGAATGATGTGAAAACATATAAACTTGGACTTTGGACTGATGTCAAACTTGAGCTGAACAGCCATGGTAATAAGAAATAATACTAATAAGTAATAACTATAATCAGACGTATTGTATAGAGAGTGACGTACCGATTGACCGAGAAGTCAATTCGCTGACATCCGAGATATTCAGTTAAAAATGAATTATACTTAAAATATAATCTTTTATTGTTTTTAACTATTTAAACAAGTCACGAACATTGTTCAAGACAACTATCAACTATGTATAAAAATACCTAATCATACGAGCCTTTGTTTTCTTAATGAAAATGGAACATTATTGCATCTAAGTATTCCAAAATACAAATCGTACAATTTTTAATCTAAAGTTATAATTTAAAACGTTCTTAGGAAAAATATGTATTATTATATGTCATTCAAATTCATAAATCAACGACATTTTAAATTTTATATTATTAAATAATTAACTAATGGTGCAATGATTACTAACGGTCTGCTTACAAATGCCAATAATAGTATAGTTTTATCAACATTTTGGCTGTATATTATTATATCCTAGGTTTCCAAAATTATTTTTGAGTTTCGTGAAACTACAATTTGTAGGCGAATCGTACCGGGTAACAAATAAGGACCAAAAAATACTTCAATGTCACAAAAACAAAATCGATGCATGGGCAGTATCTTGATTTTAATTTTACTCTTTTTAAATCTGTCTTAAATGCTCGAAAAGGGTCTAAACAATTTTATTCATTTTGTTTAAATGTAAAATATTTTTTGGATTAGAAACTTCAACTTATATTATATTTTATATAAGTTATGACATTTTCAAAACATTTAGATCAATTGTATGCTAATGCCTTTTTAAAATGAATTCCGTATTACTTTTACTTATAGAACAATAGATTATTATAACATTTAATAGCAATATATTAATTATAATATGATAATCGGTATCCGTTCAAAATCGTTGTTCGAATACAATGATTTCTTATTGAATTTAAATTTAATTCTTCCATTACTGTGACCTTCACAATAACGAGATACATAGTTGACTCCTACTATACAGCAGAGTGGTTACTCACTTCTCCCCTTTTTCTTATCTGTATGTGTATGCAAATAAAATTTTATATTTATGAGTTAAATAAAGTATGGTAATAAAATAATAAATATACAGTCTTTATATTTCAATACAATATTCGCTTATCTGGATGTTTTTTTTTACAAAATTATTTTTTTTTTTGAATTATTTTAAATTTGAATTTTATTGATGAATACATCAGTATGATGCCTGCAATAATTACCTGTTAAATATGGTCTTAATTATAGTTATTGTGTCATTATGTATAATTATAATTTTAGCGTTAACCGTTTAACCTAATTAAGCTTTACGAACGTACTCTTTAAACGTTTAATTATTCCAATAAAAAATTACTGTTGAATCCATGTTATCCTTTTTTTTTAAAAAAAAACTAGTTTATTTTAAATGAATAAATAAATTCCATAGACTTTATCGCAATAATCATTACGTTTATTTTCTAAAATATGAACTAGTTATAAACTATTATTTTATACCGAATATTTGAATTTCATCAAGTCTATCCCAAAAACTATTGGCATTTTATTAAAGATAAAAACAGTATAATCATTTATCCGATTATAATATGTATTTAAACAGACATTACTAACTAGCTGAGTCATTGTATTTTGTATTTACAAACCAAACGATAAAATTTATCAGATAAAAATAATGTATAAATGTTATGGCTATCCTCTAAAAAAATCTTAATTTTATTTTATTTTTATCCACCAAGAAGTTTGAAAATTGCAAGTTATATTTTATAATTAATTTAAATAATTTATAAAACACCTGTGTATTAGATTTATCATTTTAATATGACTTCATATTATTAATATTTTATTTTTTTTGTCAACCTATTATCATCTACTTATATTATTGCGTCCCTTGTATTTCAACAGGAGAAGAAAGAAAAAAAAATTAATCTTAAGATGCAAAACCAACCAAAAAATAAAAACTTAAAGAATCAAAGTCTGGTGGAAAAGAGAAATCAACAACAGATGCAACAAGCATTGCAATTGGAGATTCGTCGACAAAGACAGGAGATTCATTTAAATAATGAAATAATACATAAGCAGGTGAAGCAGATACGTAGAGAACAACGGGAGCTAGAGAAGCAGCAACAGAAAATAAAAGAAGAAAATCGACAACTAGAAAGAAAGCTACTTCAAGAAAATGAACAAAAAATGAATGACAATCCATCACCTGCCACCAACGACATTGCCGTTGCGCCAACTGAATTGGCAATGGCAGCAGCTGCTACCGATAGTCAACCATCGAGCCAGAGCCGCCGAGATAATATTGCTGCTGTCGACGTGTCAGAAAAACAGGTGTGTGTTGATAACATTCAGAACGACTTGTTGCGAGCTGAGCAAGGTAAAGAGCAGGGAGCGGAATTCCAAAAAGTTGAGAGGCGTCGTCGTAGAAAGAAGATCGACGAACTGCTTAAGACCCCGATTCAGGTTACGCAAGTGACTCATGAGCTCCCTGTCGTTGAAGCGACAGACATAACATCAAAAGATCTTACGGAAGTCCGAGATTCGATTGGGAACAGCCAGAACGAGCTAAATGAGGATCACGAGGCGATATTTGGAGCTTTGATAACAGAACATGACCCGGAGGTAACATAATATGTTAATATTTCTCTTATTTAGAAAAAAAAACAATAAGAATTTTATGTTTCTTTAAACGTAACTGTCTCGAATTTAACCACCCCACTTGTTTAATAACCTTATATTGTTCCTTAATAACTACAATACGTTCATTATAGTTGAATACTGCTGAATAATATGGAGGTCTTATTAAAAATATAACCAATATAACGGAGATAGCAAAAACAATAAACGTTTTCTCCGTGTGATAAGTTTTAAATTAGGAATAATTGATACTGAATCAAATACATTAGCTAAAAATCTATGCATTTAGCCCCTCAAAAATATATTGTTTAACTATGATATCATTTATTAATAATTTCATTGTTTCTCCAGAGCGAAAATTTCTCTTAATGCTACCACAACATAATCTCGTTTCTACTAATACATTTAAATTCTACCACAAATAAAAATTATATTCATTATAACCTATAAGTATAATTATATTAAATGTTAATTCTCTAAAAAAAATAAATACGATAGAAATGATAGAATAGTATAAACTAGCTCTCTCTTATAGGTTTAATTTATTTATGAATTTTATACATATTATTATATATATATAGATTATATAGATTTTAATTTTATACTCATCTTCTATAATTTACAATTGATACTTAATATTTAAGAAGCATTAGTGTAGCATGATTTAGGTCTATGAATGAAATTGTATCGTTCACAACAATAGCAATATAAATATAAAAAATATATTTTGATAATGAATGAAAACGTTGACATTTAAATATCTTAAATATATTTATTCTTAATTTTTGGCTTATTATAGACTAGCAGTATTTGTGCTGAGAAGAAAAACCAGAATAATAAAAAAATAAAAAATAAAAAAATGTCACAAGAGCTGGAACAACAATTATTAAAGGGAGAGCTTCGACGACAAAGACAAGAAATTCAACTGAATAAAGAAATGATTCAAAGACAGGAAAAACAGAAAAGGAGAGAAAAGCAACAGGAATTAGAGAAACAACAAATCCTAAAGAAAGAAGAAAAACGCCAACAATTAGAAAGAAGGCGTCTCGATAAGCTATCTCAGCGACAAACCGCTACACCTGCCACCAACGACATTGCCTCTGCGTCTACTAAATCGGTAAAGGCTGAATCCATTATCTATAATCAACCACCGGGGCATAGCCTTGAAAATAATAAAACTGAAGTCGATGTAACGAATAAACAGATATGTGCTGAGAACGACGTTTTGCTGAAATCGTCACAAGCTGTGGAAGACAAAGCTATGGAAGATCAAGAAATGAACCAGCATTTGAGAGTGGAGCTTGATAATGTGCCGCAGACACTGACGACTCAGATTACGAGCTTCGCTCACGAGATCGATGAGAGTGATGTCGTCGAGGACACAATAAACAGACCACACATCGAGGACTTAAAGGCTCTCCTCGATTCCGTCAGGGACTTAAAGTTTTTGGAATGTTCGGAAAAAAATGTGAACTGTGATTTCAAAAATGAGCAACTTTGTGAAAAGCACGACACGGCGATCAGTAGCCTACGTAAGGAGTTTGATGATATCCTCGCAAAGTACACTAATGTTTGGACAGACATTGACTTTGATGTCATGGTTGACGAAGTGCGTGTGGAATGTGAAAATGACAGTCTACAGGTGATTGAAAAGCTTAAAAAGGATCACGAGGAGGAGGTTAAGAATTTACATATATACTATAGTTCGAGGATTCATGATATCCATGTAAATAACCAGACTTTGATCAATACTATTCAAAGAAGTCACGATTCCTCAGTTTTCCATTTGCGTAATTTAAATTACAATCAGGGCGTACGACAAGAAGCCGCGTTGCGAAGTATGCGTGAGCTTAAAGAAAAAACGCGCAAAGAGCACGAGATTGCGATCAAAGGTTTAATTGAAGAAAAGGAACTTCTTTGTACAGAGCACGAGAGGGTGGTTCGAGAATTGCAAGAGATAAATCAATCGCTGAGAATGGAAATCGAGACCATAACGAAAATACATTTGCCTTCTAAATGTGAGACCGTGATCAAGATGGTGAGGAATAAGGATGATTCCCTGGTAGTGATAACAAGTCCAGATCTCACTTTGCAAAATGGAACTGTCCCAACTGAAGTGGAGAGACTTCAATGTCAGCTAGCCGGGGAGGATCAACAGCGTTCCATCGTAGTAGCAGTAAGTACTTATTACAATGTTTGTGTATAGCATACAGTTCGTTTAGGTTTAAATATTTTATGATGTATTAATATTTAAAATTAATTAATTTAAATTTTCTCTGTTTGATCAGCATCAGCAGACAACCAACGGCGACGACAATAACGATTCTGACACCACAACGAGCACTATCGATGACAGCGATGAATTAGACATGATAAAGTCTCAAGACACAACGTCTCCAAACACTTTAGAAGATTACGAGCAAATATTTTATGAAACGGTACGTGTGTACAGCATATATTATATACTTTAGTGTACCCATAAGCGAAACTTGACACTTTTATTAGGACAGGTCATATGATAAATATGGTTTTTTTAATTATTGAATTATTTTTAAATTGTATTTAAATTATATTGAGTCACTATGTTGTCCAGTCAGTATTAAATTAGGCCATGGCCTGACCCGTAATTTCGACTATAAGTCATATTAGATCTTATAAATTATATTTTTCGATAATTTGGTGCCGTGAGGATTGTTGCATAAATATCTAACCAAACAAAATAAAATACAATTAGAAATATTTTTAATAATTTTTAATTTATATATGTTTGTACAAAATATCTTAAATTTGTACAGGCAGAAAAGCTGAGCCTGTTACATAGGTACGTTTCCAGAAATGAATCAAATTGTTCGTCTCAGGAGGACGACCTACAACAACAGGACGATTTAGAAGTAGACGCCCACAGTCCACAAAATAGTCATAGCAACTCAAAAGATGAAGACTAGGATGAAAGTTACGCTATGGCAATGATGGTAAAATGATTACCAAACAAAAAATTGATAATTTTGGTACGTAATTATTTTCACTTTATCACTTGTTCCTAAACTTCAAGCTGGGACGGTTATTAGCTTATTATTACTATCATTTCTGTAGGTAATAATATTTTAAACAAAAGACAATAAACCACGCTCATCATAACTTTTTTTTTAACTGTAAATAATAATATTAATGTATAAATGGTTACAAAAATATCATTTATCATACATAATATAATGGATTCATGCACAGTAACAGCTTTTTTAAATGTTGTATGTTATTTTTTTCTTAAATTCTTATAGCCGTTGTGAGTCGTTGTTACAAGTTTATCCTACGTTTTTCCCTTGTGGTAGTTGCCTATTAATATCCACAAGACCATAAATGTTTTTTTATTATTATATAATTAATTTAATTAGGTATTAGTTATGTAAATATTGTTAATAATTATGGCTTTCGCTGGTTATTATCGTGTGTTTGCCTAATTATATTATTACGTTAACTGCTAGATCATTATTATGTACAATTTGTAATTATAATGTAATAGTATTTATTAATTATTGTATTCACCTTATGTATTACTTACATAATTTGCGCTCATTGTACTCATTAGTCACTCGATTTCGTATTTACTTAAATTGTTACTTATTAGTTATTATACTCTGTTCGAATTAAGATATGTAGTCGGCGGCGACCAGTTTTCGTCGGGCCACAGCCGGGCAACACCCGTTTGTCGCCCCTACCCAGTCAATTAACTGTATACCTGCCGTGTAGTATTGCACACGGCCGACTACGTTTCTTAACGTCTTAACAGAGTTATTTAAAAAAATAAAGTTTTATTTATTTTCAGTTATAATATCTCTCCTATTCTCGTTTAATTATTATTTGTTGTTTGTATTATTTTTGTTTACATATGCATTAATTATTTGTAAACCTATGTAAGTTTCATAAATATATATTAATTCACACACATTTATATATTTTTCAAAAATTTAATATTGAAATCATAAGTTTGACTTCCAAAAACAATACCTCAACTTATAAATTATCATTGGTGTACTAACCCACCCTGGCATTAGGTCCAGAAATCGTTTCAGCCGTTTTTTTGTGTAATGGCCCGTTGTGTAGTGGCGTGATTAAAAAAAATTTATATTTTGAAAATGAGTGACGGACTTAACAAAAATGAGAGCGAATAATAATCACGTACCTAGTAGTCTAGTACTAACGTCTAATGGCATGCGGTGCGATACTGCGATTGGTATAAGACATAGACTCAAATAGCGTTTGAAATTTGGGAGGAGCTGGTGACCTACTAAATAATAAATAATAATATTGTAAAACCTTAAAAAATTTTTTAGGAAATTGTTGAAGGGGCTTGGTGCCTTCCTATTGCTCTCCCTACATATAATATTAGACGAAAGTATCTATAATACTCTAAAATGATTGTAAATATCTTGTTATTTTTGGAAATAAATGAAATAATCGGATGGTGGTTTAATATACCTAGTGATAATTGGAAATAATTCATATGGGTCATGCGATAAGTATCAAGTATAGAATATATACGGTCTATTACATATAGCATACTTGGATTACACTTTGTAATTGAACGGTAGGTAAATTATTTAAATTCCGGCGGTTTTTAAAGAATTAAAATCGTATTTACAATATATTAATTTATTTGCAATAGAAAACGTTTATAATGACACTGGTCTTAGTAGCATATGCGATTTTATGACTTCAAACCCGTACAATTGCATACGTACATTTTATAGGTAGTTATGACTATCGGTTATTATGAGTTCCATAACGCTTGCACAGACACACTGACGTTCTACGAAACAACATAAATTCTCTAATGGTGGCGGCCGTATGTAATTTGCACCACTTCTAAAAATTAACTTTGGTGATTTGCAACCACTTTTTAAAGTTTCAATTTGCGACACATGAACCTAGGTAAATGAGTATTACAAGGGTTTTTACTTGCATGAGACTTACAAAAACGTTCCGTTTCCGCGTTAAGACGGTTTCGTTTTATTGAGGTTCAGTGTCTATATAAAACTATAGGAACTTGCCGGGACCATAGAAAAATTCTGTATTGGATAGTTTTCCGTTTTATTCAGGGTCCGCTTTAGAGAGTTTTCACTGTATACCTAACTGCATAAGGTTATGGAATATGTCAACATGGGTATATTAAAATGTATTTCATCTTAAATCGTGACTGCGATAAGCGATTGTCATTATTATTAAAATAACGGGATGTCGCAGATGTTGTTCAGTCATTGAACATCCTTCAGCCGATAGTTGATAGGTAAATACAGAAATATATTATATTCGTATTTCCGATACTTGTGTCCGTCGTTGTGGACTTTGCTACATGTCTCGAGTGATTGCATTGTAGCCCCCCTGATATTACGTGAAAAGTAACCCATGACGATATTACCTCCACACCGACCACACCCCCATGTATATAAACAAGGTTTGACAGCACACTTATGCGACAAATAGCAAATTCAAAGACACGTAGTTAGCAGAATGCTTAAACTTAATGATAATACTTTTGACGTACCACGTAATAGTCAATGCACGGCTTGCTACAACAAGCCCTAGTCCTAGTCGCGGGCAATAGTCTGTAGAATACAGGTCACCCATGAGTGTAATTTTTCTATGTTCTAAACTTTAAACTAGAACATGATCCTTATACACAATAATACTGTTAGAACATTAAAGTTTAGTACTCAGTGCAGACTGCATATTATACTGTACAATTATGTATAAAAATCGTATCGATGTGCCGAAATAAATCGTTTTCTTAAAATCAAATAAAAAAATTACAGACATTCAGTTATATTTATCATAGGCTATATAAAATAATCTTAAACTTTAAACAAAAATTAAATTTCCAAAAAAAAATTAAGATTACAGTTGAATTTTAAGAGGTTAATATAATATTTTAGGAAACAATTGAACATTTTTTTTTGGGGGGGGGGGAGGCTAAGCCCAGCGGCTAACCTATACTAGTTTCACTAGTGACATATTGATATTATTAGTACATTATAAGTTATAAAATTATTATGTGACATATAGATTATTGACATACATACCTACTCACATCGATTTTGCACGAACGGTAATCCGAGCCACTGACACGCAAAAATGCAAAGACTCATTCATGCATAAGTAATATTTAATAAGTAATAAATAATTAATTAATAACAAATAATATAGAAGAAATTGTAGTCCTCGTTCACACAACCTTACGGGCCAGACGTATAATTCTATTTAGTTCATTGTAATAAAGTGAGTACTTAGTGAACTAGCGTGTGTACTCACTAATCGTAAATCATAACCGCAATTACGGGTGATACGGCTACCGCCACCGTGCTACTGTACAACCGCCCAGCGGGCCGGTGTCATATAGTCACGGACTGGAAAAATATAATCCACCCTGTATAATATTATTATTGTTGACGATTGTGCACTAAGGAAGTTTCAGGTAATGCTTTTTAAGTTCAAAATTTATTTCATCTAAAGAGAACTGAAATCATAAACTTTTATTTCGCATTTTAATCGATTTTGTGGCTTTTCTGACATTTTTTTTTTATATAAATTTGATAAGATTTTATTGAATTTTAGTGCATAATATGTATTAATTTTATCTATACATATTTAAATTAAGCTTACGTTATTGATATTTCAAACATTTTGTGTAGGCCATTTATTATTTATTAATCGTACTATATTTATTTTATGATTTCGGTAACTTATTTATATATATACAGTTTATCTAACGGATGTTAATATGCGTCCGGGACGTAAGCCAGTAACAACTAATTGATCAGTTGCCTTTAAATCGTAATCAAATTTTTTTATAAGTTCGTATTTTAGTTTGTTTGAGAATTATTAAAAGAATTTTTTGGTCATTTTTTAAAGACATTATTGCGGTCAAAACTAATCTTTTGATATTTTTTAGAGAATATCTGGATTGTTTTTAGGACATTTTAAGCTGGGGCCTATTAATAACTCATAAATTACTCAATAAAATTTTGATTTTATTATATCAAAGTTCCTCAAAAAATAAACCAAAAACTATGTTTTTGTTCTAAAAAATTAAAAACTTAAAAAATAATATGTCTGTTGCCAACGATCCAAAATAACCATCATTAAAATCTCTAGCTTAAAGTATAATCTAAGAAATAGTTGTAAATATGTCTATTATGAGTTAGGTACCAACTTATTAAGCAATAATTAATTATTCATTAAATCGTTATTTACCTAAGTGAAATGATCTATCTCTCTATCACATTAATACTTTAGAATTTACCTATGGTTTGTAATTTAAAATACAATATAAATAACAATAAATTAATATATAGGTACCTCAAATAAATTTAAATTTTAAAAACATTTATATGCTTTATTATGGTGAGTAACCAAAAGTGAGAAATAAAGTTTTAAAAGTTAAGATTGTAATAGTGTAAGGCCGAGATTTATTTTCGTAATAATAGGCCCAATGGGACCTAGTCCGTCCCTGCCTGACAGGTCAATTCTCGATTTGAGTCCAAACCATTTTTTTAAGAGTCGTTTTAATTGTTTTTCGTTCATGTGAGACACTTTTAACACTGTTGTAACTTGTAAGCTATTATTTTCCAATTATTGTTACATGATATTTTAATTCTGCAACGACTTCGACAAATATGTCATGGCAACGACCACATTTGTAGAACTTCATTAAGCATAATATTGTCGTTTACGTTTTATTTATTGTCATGTCTTCATTTTTTTTTTATTTGAAAACAGTACAATGTTCATTTTTCTGATTGAAATTGCATATATTTGCATCTAATTAACATTAAGAAATTCACTTCAGAAAAAACCTAAACTTGGAGACCATTTTTAACAATAACAATAACATTTGCTACGTATCAGATTATGAAGACAGATCATACGTTAAAACAAAATCCGGAAAACAGTAAGTTATCCAAAATCTGTTTAGATGATTAAACTTGAACTTTTTACCTATATTATTCTACTAATAATCTATGACAACACATAACTAAAAATAAACGATTCATAGAATACCTGTATTTGATAGCAATCCAAAAAAATCTATAGAGAATAGAGATATGAATATAATTATTAATTAAGCCTATCGTAGACTATGTGTATTTCTCTTGTAGCTCATTTCCAACTTTATTAATATTTAGTCCTCCTTCCCAGGGCATTTACTATTTAGAGAGGGAGTGTGGGGCAATGTCGAAAACTGCCCTTGGAGTCAACATTTTGGGGGTGTCAAAATTTGTTCACTAGTGAATTATTAAAAATTTTTTTTTTATGCTGTATGTTTTCTATATATTATGCTGTTTAAAATTTAAATAACTTATACATTTTTATTTTATGGCTATCAGCGATCAATAATAATTAATTGACATATAGGTACCTAATAATAGTTCCTTTTTCCCAATTTGTTGTGATGCAATAAATTTATGTTGTTTAAAACATACTCTCAACCTTGCACTATAAAAAGCCCACAATGTGAACTTAATAGTCTAAAATATATAAAACTTGATAAAATAATACATCACTAATTAAAAATAAAAATAAGTATCTAACTTAATCAACAATTTAACTACCTAGTAATAGATTCTAAGCAATAATTGTTTTATTAAGATTATTTATAAACAGTTATATATATTGATAATATATAACATTAATATGCATAGTTTATACAGTTTTATCAAATTTATTTGTATTTCGTTCATTATAAATATGTAAAAAAAAATGATGGTTTATGAAATTATTAAACAATATTTAAGAAAAGGACACATTATAATACATTATTGTAAAGCCAATAGATTCTTTTTTGCTCAAAATCTAAAAAGTTCATGAGAATCTATGAAGCCCAGTATAGAGCTCGCTTATTTTGTTTTAATAAACTTGTCTAATCTGCTTTATATATATATAACTGGCGTTCAGTACATATGTATCATTCACTTTTAATACGATTATTAGAACAACAGGTGTGAGCTTAATAGTTAACTTCCTAACTTGAGTATTGAGAAAAGAAGTGTCGTCATTCGCTAATTTTATTATTCCATTCTTTGGGTAATTAGATGTAATATACTATACGTAATCGGTTGTCGGATAAGCACGGATGAATGTGAAAAAAATGTTATTTCAAATAATTTGTAAAAGTACTAAAAAGTTAACAAGTAAAGAAGAGAGGAGGAATGAATATAGCTGAAGAGATGGGATTTGTAAAAGAAGGAAATGTTATGAGAGTAACATTGCATAATGTTATTCTATTCATGTTATTCAAATATTTTAGTACCACCTTTGGGTAAGAGACCAGTGATGTTGACATGCCCAAGGTGCAAACAACAAGTGATGACAATAGTGAACACACAAACATCGTCTACAGCTTATATATGCTGCTTGTTGATGATTATTATTGGGTAAGTGGAAAAATATATGGATAACTGTATTGCGAAGATTGTGATTTAAACTATTTACACTATAACTTATTTTATGAAACTTAAGATGATGCTACCCACACGTTTGTTGTCTCCATCTTACTAAAGTACGACATAGTTTACTAGTTTAAAAAGTATGCTGTTAGTTTTTATATTAAAATGAATTGACTAATAATCAAACTGTTATGTAAGAACATTATCTGTACTTAAGCATCGGCGAATTTTTAATATTTTCATTTTCAAACAAGATACAAGTGTATGAAATGTCAAAAATTAAAAATGCTCATATCTCGATTGAAAATGAAAATATCGAAAAATAGCCGACGCATAAGCACAGATAATTTCCTTACCTAAAAGTTTGATAATATAGGTTGATTTAGTCTAATATCAAAACGAACAACACACTTTTGAAACTAGTGAACGAAAAATGTCTATGTCTTAAGTATGTATGGGTAAGTAACGTTCTCTTGAAAATCATGGAAATTAAAAGTATTTAAGCTATTATTGATTAGATAAAACTATATTCTACAAGATAATATACATTTCAATAATAAAAAACAGGATCCGTCATATTCCCAATATGTTGTCACTTGGAAGTGACTGTTGGCCGCATGACGGCGATAAAACAACTATCTACATGTACAAAATCAACATGTTTTTCTCGTGGAATTAACTTAAGTTTATAAGCTTGCTAATTATATATATTAACTTATATGATTAATAATCAATAATATTTAATAATATATAACTAAAATATGATTGGTAGATGTGTTAAGTAATTTACATTTTTTTATAGGTGTTATATTTGTTCGTGTGTGCCATTATGCATGAATAGCTTTAAGAACAGACAGCATTCATGTCCATTGTGTAATGCTTTCATTGGACTTTACAAACCATAAGCCAATAGACAATAATATAATTAATTAACCACCAATTTAACCAAGCGTGCAAACTACAAGTGTATAAAATATTACATTCGTCAAATGATTACATTTGATTACAAACTTTCATTACTATAATTACACTATTAAGTATATTTTTGACAATAATTTTTATTTAGTAAATTATTGAACTTAAAGATAGCAGTGTCTGGAAAGAATGTCATTCATTAACTCACCTTCATATTTAGTAACCTAACGAACGTCACACGTTTTTATCAAATTGAACTTGAACGTGAACGATATTTCTATTTTAATGAATTTGAACAATTTTTAAGATGCTCAATTTATTTAACATTTAATGAATATATGTTTAAAATACATTGATTAATTTTATTAAGTAATAATATATTTTTATTATAATTCCTATAATAAAAATTTAAAAAAAAATGTATTATAAGTGTTTGTAACATAATATATTATATGAATCGATCTACATTTTTTTATTGATTCTATATAAGCCTCAACCATATACATTTAAGTACCTATAGCCTATTAATGGTAATCGGAATAAAAATCTCTGGAAAAAAATCCCTGACCCTAGAAAAAGAATCCCCAGACTACAATGTTACTCACAAACACACGTAAATTATTGAACAAATTTTTTTTTTAACTCTAATTAGTGTGATTACCAAAATTATTAATATTTAATTACATATATATACTTATAGTGTAGTAATATATCCTTAAAATGGAGAAAATGTCCAATTTCTATAGCTAAGGATTGAACATTGAAAATATTGTCTACGTTTCTTGTATGCAACATATTTCTATACTAATCATGCTAGTACCTAATTTAATGTACAATAAATGGCATGCAAAAATCATTCAATTTTAGTTAGCCAAAACTAAAGTCATGTGTAACCCATACTATATTTTGACTGAAAACCGAAGCTACAAATCCTCTCCAAGTATCAAGGAATCTATTGATATAACTTTTATAAAAAACGGCTTAGCAGTTTTCGAGTCTATAGAAGACGAACCAACTTACATTTATGAGTACAAAATATTATGTATTACCTACCTATTATATTTTATATTTTTATTACAATATTATTATTGTACACCGATTTGGTCCCTCTGGTTGCGGCGTAGTATTAAACTAAATACAACCGGCGACTCAATACCTACCTACCTGTAAAATTATTACCCATTGGGCTGGTACCACTTATTCACTTATTTCACGTATTTTTTTTTTTTCGTGTTAGCACGATTTACACAAGGCTCGAGTTCCCCCATGTAGCGTAATTTATTGGAAATAAATGATAAACGCACTAAAAGGTATGTAGACGGGACAAGCACCGCCATACCCACCCCATCTACCTTCGTCGGCATAATGCGTAGTAGACGAGTCCCGCCTCGCATTCCAGTATTCCACCCTCAAAGATTACGAAAACAGACAATGTAATGAACATGATTCAATCGGCGCCGTTTCAAGGTCTTCTCGGCCGACCGTAGTCGACCATCCCAAAATCCAAACACCTGCAGGCCCGAGCCCGACACTCTCTGCTCCCTGTTCCATAATAACATTCCTCTATATCAGGGGTGCCCAATATGCGGTTCGCGTCTTATGTACAAAAACCGATATTTACTACTTACCCATCTTACTATCAAGGATTTAAATTGTTTCGTAATGAACTGATACGCGTAATTTGGCATGGTATGTCTCTACGGCCGTCGGCTGTATTTCCATTGGATACATTTAAATAGTTTCGTCTAATCGGCAATGATGATTTTGAAACGTTTTGGCTCTTGACGCCTTCGTGTAATATCATTCGATCCGTGTGGCTGGCGAACGCATTCGTCACTTCTGCGTACACCACAAACACTGTCGGCGCCGGTCGTCTGGACGCATGCCGCATGCCCACACGCGTATAGTATTATATTGGGTACCAACCTATGTTAGCTATTAGCGGAGATAATGAAATTCCAGATATTGCCGACAGTCATTACTCCGGGCAAATGCCATTAGTAGTGACTTGACATTTTAGACGATACTGACTGATGATATACAAAGTAATAATTTACGTTATCATCGACTTAATGGCTGCAGTGTTCTAAATGGACAACATGTAGATATAATATATACTTACTGCCTAATCCTGGTATTTCCTGATCGCGTATTACAAATACGTGTATGTTACGATAAAATACTATAGTATAGTAAACTACTCACTATTAGTCCGTCGAAATTATTTTATTTTTCACGTAGCTTCAGATTATAATAAAAGGTTATAGTCACCGTCTGTATTATGGAATTACCTGCTCAGACAGTACTACCTTTTTGGCTGTAACTGTGTGCGTATCAGTTTCAATAAAGGTATTTCACATTCCACGCCGATATCGAGTGTGATCGGTTTAAGAAGTAAAACGCACCCGAACGTTTTAAAATTCGTTTACCCATAATAAAATAATATTATCATTGTCATTGCAGGTAGATAGTAAAATGCAAACGACACAACTTTAAACATTTTATTTCTTAATTTTTTAACTTTGATCATTATTATATTTACATTATCGTCAAAATACATTAAGACGTAATATTTTATTCAGAATTATATGATACTCGTCCAATATGCTATCTACCACACGTTTGATGGTTTAGTGTATGAATATTTTATCTTTTTTTTTTTTTCTCGTTATCGACGACGCTGCCGGAACTGCTTGCGCATTACGTCGACATAGCGTTAAATACGAGGTTATATATTTTATCTACCATCGACTTAGTTGATTTTCATTTTTTCGTAAACACTTCGGCTTGTGTTACCTTTATTTGAAATACCCAATACCAAACAAGTTCTACGATATCGCACAAATTTAAAATATTTTATTTATATTATAATATTTATATAAACATATATTATATTATATTTTATTTATATATATTTTTTTCATTTTTTTTTCAACATTAATTGTTACACTTTCCCTTTTATCCATGTACGTAAAAAGGTTATTGTTTTTGCGTATGGAGTAAAATGTTTGGCACCCTTTTTTTGTACATTGATAATAAATTGTTTTCAAAATATTACCTTCCGAATCACGTTTTTGACTATTTTTTAGAACTTTTTTCAACACCACAAATTGTTGGGTTTTTAATTGTTGTACATGTTTGGTCGATTGGTAATAACCGAGTATGTTTAAAAAATGTTCTCACATCTCTTCATTTTGAATTATGTGTTGACACACAGTTGATAAACCCATAATACATAATATGTAATACAACACGACTCACCAACACACTTTAAACAGGTATAATATAAAGGTATACCTACTAACCTACCTTACCTACTAAATTACGGTAGATAGTATATATTGGACGAGTACCTACCAATTATACTTAGTACAAAACCAAATATTATAGTTAATGTCTAAAAACAATGATGTTAATATAATAGACAGTTAAATTGTATTCAATATTCATTTTTAACTTTGATTTATTTTTCAATTTAATGTTTCTATAATACTTGATTTTTAATTTTTTTATGATAAGTATATACCTATATAAGTATATATTTGTAATTAAACATTGATAATGTGGTAATTACAATAAATACAGTTTGAAAAATATCAATTGTTCAACGCGTCCATGCGGTGGTACTCATATTGTAGTCTCGGGATTTTTTTTCGGGAATTTTTTTTCTAGGAGATTTTTATTCCGATTACCGCCAGATCGTTTGGGTTATTTATTTAACACAATCGGCAAAGATACAAAAATATACATCATTTGCTCCAAAATGAGTACTTGGTGTATTAGCACATATATTGTTTTGTAAAATTAAGTAAAATTAATTTTCACAACGACATATATTACGTAAATGCTTATTGAGTACCTGGTTATTACTTAAACTATAATTAAATTATTATTTTTTTTTCTAACTGTTCATAATTGACATCGGTGAAAACGGTCATTAGTTATAATTTACATTACATTTTTATTTTCATTTTTTTTCTCTATACTTGGTTTAACAGTTTGATTTTTTTTTAAATTTTAAGATTTGATTATAATTTTATTTATTTATATAATTAAATATTATATTTTTAGATTTAATTCATTGTTTGTCATTGTCCACTACCATTTGTTACTTTATATTACCTGGTAGGCGGAAAAAAGCCCAGAAAAAAAGCACAAACAAATAAACATACCTACAAAAGTAGGTATTTTAAACATTAGCACTTCGACCACATAATTTGTTAATGATAATTTTCACCATCGCACTTACAGCCGAAAATATTGTTTATAATTTTCAGTTTGTATCATGGTATTAGGCGTCAAAAATAGTCCCAGTGATTTTCCACAAAATGAGTTTCTACTTATCTATGCGTAGTGAATATTCGGTTACAAAGGCTTAAATATTTTATTATTTCGGCCGCACACTCGGTATTCTATTGACTTGAATGAAAATAATATTTTTTCGGGATTTCTAACTAGATTTCTAACTTTTTTTTGTTTTGGAATATTCTTCTTTTGAATTTTCAGACATAAATAAAAAATTTTAATTATACTATAATTTTTTCAAACATTTTACTAGTATAAATGTTTGGTTTTTATTTATCAGGTCCTTCAGTGTAACAGAACAATGCATAATGCAGTATCGAAGTAATGAGCAAGAAACCTTTTAAGTATGAATCATAATAGCTCTAATATAGTAGTAGTTGCATTCCCAATTTCGACGTATTAACATTTTCGTAAATATTGTTGGTCGAGTTTTAAGAAAATCGTTGTATTGGGCATTGACAATAGTCGTTCGAAATAATAGTAACCATGTGTGAAGCTGCCAGCTGGTAGGTGGCACATTTACACTTGTAGACTTGGCGTCCGTCGCAGTCCCTCAATAGCCTGTACAGCTGTATCTAAAGAATTTTCATTGTACTTATCGTCGAATGACGACCGGTTTGTAGAATTCAAAAACGAGTAATGCATTATAATGTTATAATATTATAGCACCACTCCCCCAAGCAGT